AGAGAGGGATCGTTTATGGATTGATATTTTGCACAGGCTTTTGAAATTAGGCCAGTAGCTGCAATGGACCATAGAACTGCAGATGCCCTTTGCTTTATGTCCATTTTTGCTTTAGTGGAATAAATAATATTAAATGAAGCCTTGTATCTGGTAAGTAAAGTTAGGGCAAAAGATATTCTTGTGCAGTGGGATGCACAAGAATATGTAATAATAAATGCATTAGTCTTTAAAATGGTATAGGGATTTCTTTTGTTCTCTGCTGTAACAGGTTATAGACAATTCTTCCTTTGGAAACAAGAGAGACTGATGATGTAACATTATAACGATTTGCTGCAAACCCTAATTTGAAACAAGCATACCTTAGTGATCCAATTGGATGCAACGTTATTCCATATGTATAGCTACATTATTTCGTATGTATATACCTCTGAGAAGGAAAGAACATAGATTTAAGTCTTTGTGAAATTGCTAATGGGACACATATTAATGAAGAGTGTAAGTGCAGGGCTGTTGCAACCCTTTGTGTAAATTGTGCACTGCCGGGGGCACCATATGAAGGAGGATGCCAGCAGCAAATAAAAATGGAAATGTTTATGATGGTGGTTCTGTGCACTTCGGCACAGCTAGAATATTTAAAAAAAAATTATGCACAAAGGCAGCTTGCACGCCAGCAGCACCCCTATGTATGGAACTGCTTGCTTTCGCTCCCTTGCATGTTGTATAGAAAGCAGCTAAAAGCAAATTGAATAACTCCATTCTATATTGATACATAAAAAAAGGAATATTCAAAGTCTAAGAAAAATTCAGGTGAAAGATCTACTGCATGAAAATTATCACCTTTGAAGGAGACGTTAAAAAAACACCGCAGAATATCTAATATGAAAATAGCACCACAGCAATAAACTAGTTATTTTCTATTACAAATCAAGCATAATTGTTTTTGGTCAAATTATGGATCATGCATTCAATATGGTTTATTCGTATTATCACTTTTTTACTAGATTTATGTTTAAAGAAGCATCATACATTTCTACCAGGAGTTAATTTTCAAGTTTTGTGACCTTTGTTGCAGCTACCTGATCTTGACACTTTAAGCCAATGCAATAAAAGAATGCCAGAAACCATGCAGTCTAATGCAAACAACCACACCTTTGGGAAACAGTTCAGAACTGAATGAATAAACAAAAGCATATATTACTCACTCAGTCAAAATTGGTAACGTCCATGGAAATTAAACTTTCAAACTGAATAGTAATCATAAACTGTTCCCCAAGATTATCTTTCCTTTAAAGTTATGTTGACAAGTACAGTCAATCTTTATTTGAATGCATGCTTTTGTATTTAAGCAATCAGTATAAAGAGTTACTGAAATGAATTAGGAATTATTATTTTTTTTTTTGTCTGAGCAGGCCCTATTGGTTGGCATTCTGAAGTTAGCAACTGTACAGACTATGATTTCTAGTTTAACATGCAGAATCAGCTATCAAAGTACAGGCCTACTTTTATTGGCTTCTCAAACATTTTGCCAGCTCTACATTTAAATCTTCAAAATGTTTTCTAAAGACTCCGAATCATAATGAGAATTCCATTTACTAAGAAGGTGCAGCTTTCATATAACAACTGAATATGTTTAATGACTGATCCTTTTATACATTACAGCATCACTCGTGTTTTCAGTAAATGGATACAATTTTGTCTGCTTTACCCTATTATTATTATTTGTTAGCCTCACCAAGCTACAGTACCAATTGCAGAGATTTCTTCCTAGCAATTATCTCACAAAAGCAGCTAGGTTTAAAAGCCCTCTGCTTCAGCGTATCAAGCTAAAAAACAACCAGTGCATTCCAGAAAAGAAATGTTGGAGAAAATATAAAAAATGAAGCTACTTGAAAAAGCCAGCCATAGAAAACTCAAAGGGCTAATCCCACTGTGATAAAATGAGTTTCATTAACAGGAAGCATGAATACTGTAGCCTAGCTATCTAGTCTCATAACTTACATTAGTAGCTATATTTTTTCCCTTTTTTTCCCTTTGTGTCATATATGCAGTTCCAGTTTCTCTAGCCTGAGATTAAAGTGATAAATTCAACAACAAAATGTTTTTCAATTGAGACAGAAGCAGTACAGGTAGCCCTCAACTATTCATTTAGTGACTTCTCACCATTTTTTACAATTATAACCATTGGAACATCCCCACGGTGATATAATCAAAATTCAGATGCTTGGTAACTGGTTCATATTTATGATGGCTGCAGTGCCCCAGGGTCATGTGATCACCTTTTGCAACCTTCTGACAAGCAAAGTCAATGGAGAAGCCAGATTCACTTAATAACCGTGTTACTAATTTAACAACTGCAGTGATTTGTTTAATACATGTGGCAAGAAAGGTCATAAAATAGGGCAAAACTCACTTAACAAATGTCTCATTTAACAACATAAATTTTGGGCTCAGTTGTGACTGCTAAGTCGAGGACTGCCTTTACCTTCAAGTCAACCATGTAACCTGGTGACTATACAAACAAATTCCATATAGTTTCTTGGCAACATTTTCAGAATTGGTTTGCCACTTCCTTCTTCCTAGGCTGTGAGAATATGGCTGGCCCAAATCCCATACATTGATTACTATATCAAATTGGGTTTCTACTATCACTGCACATACTGAACATAAAATATTTGTTACTTGAATATCTTGATTTTGTCACTGATTTTAGGAGAAAATTTCTTCTTAATATGAGGTAGGCTGTCAAAGTTGATTTTATATTATCTACTATACATTGGGTGGGTTGTATACCTGCTTCTCTACCACATGGAACCACAGTGGCCTAGTTTGTATATAACAGAGGTCTTCAAACTTGGCCCTTTTATGACTCGTGGACTTCAACTCTCAGAATTCCTCAGCCAGCATGCCTGGCTGAGGAATTCTGGGAGTTGAAGACCACAAATCACAAAAGGGCCAAGTTTGAAGACCCCCTGGTATAATAACATTATGTAGTAATGTGTGGGTTTGCATATCCTCCAGATCCAATATAAGAATTGTTATTATAGTTTAGTTGTATGTGTAAACTTGTTCAAGAGAATATGTAATGGTTATAAGAAGAAATTCTACTGAATGTTAGAAAAAAAGCTTTGTAACAATAGAAAAGCTTCAACATTGGAACTAATACCTCAAAATATGGTACATTGAATGTGATCAAGCAGAACTTAGATAGACATCTATCATGCATACTTTATTTGGATTTGTACACTGAGAAGATGGTTTGTCTTGGCAGCCTAAATGATTCATTTATTAAACACATTCATACTGCTCCAAATCAACCATGGACATAATTTACAGTAATAAAAATATTACACATAAGGTAAAAAAGCATTAAAAATAAAATAGCCACCAGAAAAGCCAGATTATATTTTAAATGAATTGATTCAATTCCAACCAAACCATTAATTCCAAATATAAAATAAATAAGAATAACTTAAAAACTACTTTGTAAACTATTCAAATGTCACCTTTGTCAAAACATACACAGCAGCCCAATGATTTACCAAAGAGGAAACCTATATTTTTAATTGCATTTCTTTCACATACATACATACACAGACACAAAATAATATAAATAATATAAAATACAAGGGTAATAACTAGGCATTGTCCTAGTTAGATGAGACTGACTGAAACAAGTTGATTACTAAAATAAGCCCCATTTATCCAATTATTTTTTTTCTAAATCTGAATCCAGGCCCAAGATTGTGTATATGTATTTGGAAACAGGATCCATAGAAATCAAAGATAACATATCTAAATCAACATATTTAAGATAAGCTGCCACTCTGCCATTATATATATTTTCACCCTCATATATCTTTGGAATGACTCAGATGCATCTATAATAATAAAACAAAATTTATTCATTTATTTGTAAAATCTATTGGCTGCCCATCTTACAACAGGGTAACTCTGGGCAACTTAAAATCTTAAAAAGATAAAAATATACAAAACCTAAAAGACATAAATAAAATACCGTAAAGATACAATTACCAAGCCCCAATTAAAAGAAGGGGAGGAAGGGAATAAATTGAGAACGGGGGAGGTGGGATCTGTTATTAATGTATCAACCACCCATGTGGAACCCCTCCATTAGAGGCCCAAGCCAACTGGAAGAGCCAGGTCTTTAAGCTCTTGCGGGAGGATTGGGGCTAACTTCTCTCAGGGGGGACAAGATGTTCCAAAGGGCAGGAGCGATGGAAGAGAAAGCTCTTCTCCTGGATCCCGCCAGCTGAAATATACTGGCCAATGGGGCCTGCAGCATGCCTCCTCTGCCAGTATGGGTGGGGCGGGACAATCCCAGTGGGATGAGATGATCCCTCAAATGCATACTAAATTCTTGTTGAGACCTTCAGAATAATTAATGTAAACAAACTGATTGCAGAATGTTCTCTATTTGAAGACAAACAATATTAATATAGGAAATTTAATGTTAACAAATGTGTTAAGTCAGAATTTTGAATAAATTTGATCTCCAGAAGTTGTTCCAGAGTATGCAGCAATAGGTATACAGCCCTCATCTGCAACATCTTAAAGCAGCTTTTATGTTTTCCCAAGATCAGGCGGTTGCTATGGTCTCTGTTAGAAAGATGCTATGTTCATGGTCTGAATCTAAAACACTTTTGGAGGTGAGAAGCACTGAACAACTCAATTCAACTATCCAGATTTGCTATTTTTAGGTATCAACATATTTTAACTACCAACCTTTTATTATGTAATCTGGCTAGTAACCTTTGCCGCATAGATACACATTTTGAAATGTGGAAATGGTGAATATGCTACATTAATCTGCAATAATTTTATCAGCCTCATGTACATGCTGAACTCCTCAAATAAAATTGTACTGAAGAGAAGTGACAAAAAAAATCAAGTGACTTGACAAACAAAGGGCTCTACGAATAGAGGGTCTGAATATTTTTTTAAAGCTAATATTTGATTTTAAAACTATAAAAAATTCATACCTCTTCCACTTCTACCGACAAATCTTAGATCGTTGAATCTTGCTACTTGATTCTTCATGGCAGCAGTAGCATTTCTGAGTTCTGCAGAGTAGTTTTCATCATTTCCAGCCATAACTGTGACCAAAGTCCCATCAGGGACATCTCCTAATGCGACCACCTAAAAAAGTAAATGAAAAAATACTGAGTTTCTTTTGAATCATTTGGGCATATAAACTGTTAAAAAAATGAAAAATGAATTGGGATTGGAACCACTTTGTACAAAATAAATAACTATAGATGCAGGAGCATTCAATTAAGCAAAATTCATTTAGGACCAAGTGAAATGTGATTTAAATTATGGCTAACACTTCACAATTATATTCACAAATACATTAAGCTAATTTCAAATAGCTCATTTCATACGTATTAAGGTATAATTGGTGGGTCTGCACATCACACAAAGCCAAAAACAAACAAATCACATAAATGCTTAGTATAGCGTGGGAGCTCAGCCACAATTTCATTGACACTCTAGAGTGACTAAAAACTTAATTAATATTTATAAATAAATATTATTTATTAAAAATAAACAGCAAATGCATATGCTAATTTAGCAGAATGGAAAACAGTACAGTAATCCCAAACTGTTAAGATTCTGCAGTGATAAAAAGGATCTCACACATACACTAACTTCAATGAGACCAACAAAAAAAATTCTACGCCAACAGTTGTGTGCAAATGCTGCATATAAATGGCTGGAGAATGTACAAAACCAGCAAGACAGGAACTATTCAAATTACTCAACGCTGCTTCCTGAAAGGACTTGGAGCTACAACCAATGTATTAACATATTGTTTTATGATTATGGTTTTATGATATAGCTCAAGAAAGAAGCATCCTCATTGTGTAGTCTCCATTTATATAAATTAATTTAACCAATTGTTTCAAATAAATAAATAAATATCCTTACTATGTAATTACTGAGTTGGAGCCACATCTGAAATACATATAGAGTAAAATCCCTTATTTTCAATTAGTTTTTTCTAAGCAAGATGAAACCCACACCCATATAAATGAAATTTAAACATTGCCAAATGCAAAGAAGATAACACTACTGTATTTTTCCTTTTGTTTCCTGATTGATAATCAAAGGAACTTCCAAATGTTTCCAGGCAAGATCATAAATTAAAATCAGAACTGCCACTTCACCACAATCAGACACTCACTTTATTTCCCATACACTTTTTGTCACTATATTTGGATCTTCTGAAACAGCTCTGCAAATTATGACCCATTTCCAAACTAAATAAAGGCTAGGTGCTCACACAATACTATCATTTAATGTTTTGTTTGCTTTTGCTTAAGCATGATATACAGTTATACCGATATACAGTTCCAATCATCATGGTTTAGTGTTGTGAATACTCTAAGATATCCACTAAACCATGGTTTAAAAATCCTAATTTGACTTTGAGAATGTTTAGACTGTTGAAAGCACATTACCCTGTTCTACAAGGCAAGAAGAATAACAACTTTAAAGATTTTTACTATTAACAATGTAATACATGTATCACATCAAAACTGCAGTGAGTTGTCATAAGGAAATTGTCAAACCTGCTTACATAAGATGTTTGCTTACATAACGTGTTACTGAAAAAAGTTTTATCGAATTGTAGCGCTGGTGGCTTCATTCTGTATTTCCTTTAGATGTGATAGAGAAAGTTTGCATTTTCATTTATGTTTGATTATAATCTTATGTATAACTTGCTATAACAATAACCATCTTACTATGAATTTAATTTACATAACCACTTTCTTTGTAATTTATCCTATATGGTGTCCAGCCATCTGCCCTCCCATTATGCTGACCGTTAGTTTTTCTTCAGAGTGTTTTCTATTATCTCATTGTTACTTCTGAGAGTTTAACTTTATTACAGTTGTACAAGAGCATTAAGTGCTACTAGTTCAGCCTATTCACTTTTTCCCATTTATATTTTTCCTGAATTATGACCAATTGCGCTGAACTGAAGTTCATTAAAAATCAATGTAATTTAGTGCAACATGAATGATTAGAACCAAGACATTGGAAATCACAGAACACAAAGACTGCAAACAGAAGTGGCAAAAGAAACCAAAGTTAGCCCCAGTAGTAATAGGCACCTTGGGTGCAATCTGAAAATATCTATAGCACTACTTGAACACCATTGGTACTGACAAAATCACCATCAGTCAATGGAATACCTTACGTCCTGTGACATAGCTTTAATATTATTGAATAACAATATCTGCCTATCCCAGGTTCTTGGGAAGGACTGAATAGGTGGACAAAAATGCCAAATGCAATCTAAACATCTGGTTGACTGTGGGACCTGCCATAATTTATTAAATGTAGATCACCCCTACTGATTCAGGGCAGTTTTAGAAATACTTCTCTTCCTGCATCAATTGAAAGCCACAACATATTTTTTCACATTCACCTGGTACCACTCTTTTGTCTTCCTTTTTAACCTATTGGGGGTAATAAAATATTCATGTAAAATTTAAAAAGCAGACAAATGTTCCACAGGAAAATAATGGCAGACAAATTGCAAGACAAACTCAAAATTGTTCACTACTTCCATCATTTGCAATCAGAATGACCATTCTGGTTGGGAGAAATGAGAAGTACTATTCAGGATTGAAGGCTATCCAAAGATATTGTAATCCTTCTGTTAACTCTGCCTGAATGTACTGTGTAAGCTTAGTCATTTTAAGGTTAAATGTACAGAAAGGGGGAAAAAAGCATACTACCTACAACTTAATTATCTAAAGTTTTCTTTGCCTCATCAACCTCATACAATAAATGTTAAATATTCAAAATCTTCCAAGTGATGCAAGTATGCAAGAAAATCTATAAGCTGCACAGCGTTTCTGGCAGTCAGGCAGCATAGATATTTAATTAATTTTATTATTACTATTATTGGATTTGGAGCTTTTCTTGCTGAAGCTTTTGGCTATTTCTAGCATAAAGAATTCAAGGTACATCAGACAACATAACATTGGGTTTTTCAGCACTCCTCAAGTTGCAATGTTTTATATTTTCAGTGGTGAAAAACAGTTAAACTAAGAAAATTCAACACAATATTTACAGTAATTGGAAAATATTCTAGAAAATATTAATTCTGTGCATATCTCTTAATATGTGTGTTGTAGGTCTAAAAAATCTCAAACACATTTTTCTGCCTTAAAAGCACTGAGCATATTTGTTAAACTCACCATGTTTATTACATGGTAAAAAAAATTATAGTAAGGCCTTAGCAAAAACAATAAGAAAAGATCTGTAGGCCCAGGATAATATGACTGGTAATTAAAGCCTGTAAAAGAGTCAAAGAATACAAATATTTACATTATAAAACAGACTAAACAGATAAGCTAGAACTTACTGACTGGAGACAGCATTTGAACTGTTGAGTTTATAAAAATGGTTTTTATGCAAACTAGAGGGAATATCAGCTGTTTAAAGCAACCATACTATTATAACCTACTAATTGGAATATTAAGACATTTGAAGCAAGTTTGTGAGATACAGCTTTACTGTTATCAAATCAAGTAAATAATAATCTTGCCAAAAAATGTTTATCAGTAATTCCAATTAAAAGCAGAACTAACTGAATTTTTGATTTTGAAAGAAAATTTCTACAAATAGGTTGTGAATTTATTTTAGATTGTGAAATGTTTTGCAAAACACTGGCAAAAAGCAAACTCCTATGGACCCAAGCTTTTGAAATAGTTTCACACCACTAACTTCTTCCCTATATTATTCAAATATTTCTGATAATTCCCCATCATCTCAAGGATTTGGTTATGAGTCTATGAAGAACTTACTGTTAGAAATAATAACAGGTGCAGCAAGAAACAATAATCAAAATGAATTGATGCTGAATCTTATAGGATGGCTGTAGTACAAAAATCCTGAAGAAATGGAATGGAACATTTCCTTGTTTCTCACCTTAGCTACCACTTTAAAAAAAAAAAAAAAAAAATCCAGGCAGGCATTCCAGCCAAAAAATAGTGATTATTTAAGAGCTGTGCTCAAATCTGAAGATAAAAGAGGAAGCATATTCTGGCGGCTGTCAGCCGGTAAGGAAGTGAGGAAATTGAAGCATAGCCAAAGGTGGTGGTGGGGGGGAGAGAGACAGGCGGGGGGGGGGGGTGTAAGACTGATCCTGGCCTTTTAAGAGCCTCTTGGAATGGAAATATTATGTGAAACATCTGACAACCACACCGCGGCCTTCTAACTAAGTAGCTCCTTCGCGACTCGACTCTAATCGCCACTAAGATTGCACTGTGGTGATAAAAAGGGGAAAATAAGCAGTTTTCGGGCACAGTGACTTGCATTTCTTAATGAAGAAAAAGCAAGCCGCTTCGGTCTAAGATAAGCAGGGCTTACTACGCTCTACGCTCTTGCAGAGCAAGAATCTGCAGAGGTCACATACGGGTTTGCCAGGAAAAAAGGCCTTACAGCATTCTGCCCTCGATCGCCTGGCGAAATCCGTCCCAGCAAGATTAGGGGGTACAGTTTACACGCGTTCCAATTATTCGGACCTCGTTGTATCCCGGGCTCTAGCCCGCGATCCTCCTACGGTTGCCCCTTCAAGACGAAGGGATAAGCTGCACGAAGCCCGGGCGCGGAGAAGTGGGGAAGGCTTTTTTTTTTTTTTTAGACAACAGAAATAATTAACCCAGCCAAGATATTTCAAAAGAAAACTAGCAGCGGGGGAGTTGGGAGAAGGTGCTTCCCGGCCAGTTAACGGGCTCGAGTAGCGCCTTTCCAAGTGCATTCAGTAGTACAGGCACGGCGGCAGGAAAAGTTCACGCTCCAGAAAAATGGGCGGGCACAAGTGGGAATCGGGGAAAAGGGAAACAAGGCGCGGGGCCTCGATTGCACGATGCACCCGGTTCCGAGTGATCGAAGAAAAAAAAAAGAAATTAAACCAAAAGGCAAGAAACCGGAGTCCTCCTTTACTAAAAGAAAGGGGTGGGGAAAGACTCAGGCAAGTGAAGGTTGTCCCACTAATAAAATACCTATCAACAGGTGCGAGCCCATGAAGTGATTGGCGGGAGGTTTTTAAGTCAGACTGTTCTGGATCCGGGCACGTTTCTTCTTAGTTAGACTCGCACTTCCGCATTTCAGGAGGAGGCCCAGCAACCCTCCAAAAATGAAGAATGCCGAACGACGGCACAAGGCTAGTTTTGGAGAAAGCTACGACGCTTTTCAGATACATCCCCCCCCCCCTTTGGAGAAGCCCCTCCGCCGGATTTGTCCAGGCACGTTGGATTTATTAGCAGCCTTAACTCATCTGACAAGGTTCTGTTTAACGCCTTGGCGGGTCACTGATTAGACACGTGTATTTGTAGTCGTTAGGAGATCAGTGTGAGTTTATGCGAGGTCCACGCAGACTAGCAGGTATCAGAATTAAAACGCTATGGGCAACTCTTTTTTGAATTGTTATTCAGTATAGTATTCCCTTCTCAGTTCTTGCATCTGGAAGCTCGATTATCAATATAGATGGGCATTTATTTCTGAAACCTAGAATAATATCCCTTCTAGCTCGCCTCAATTTAAAGTTTACATCACGCCCCGCTCGTCAAATTAAAAGGAACAAAGCAAGGGTCCGCAGCGGAATGATTCATTGCTTGTTAGGGAAGTGCGGCTTCCGTTACAAGAAGTCTTGGTTTAGTCTTAACCAAATTGCAAATACTAGACACTCACCAGCTTTGGGATACAATTCTCAGATATTTTTATAGATGGGCAATTGGAAGGGGTGGGCGTTAATTGTTTTGTTACAAATTCAAGAGGCAGAAAACATGCTCTAGACCTGTGGAATTGGATTTTAACATCATTCAAAAACCTATATTTTTGGCAGTTCAATCACTAATTTTTTATTAGTGTCATTATGTACATTTTGCTTTCTCCAAGTTGATGTAGGCTAAAGTCTCTCAGTTGTCAATGAAGTGCCTGTGGAGGCAGAGTACTTTTAAAAGTGAACTTTTCTTTGTTTGATTTTTTTGAACATAGAGGGAAGAGAGCAACGTTTTGGTATATGAAATAAAAGGAGTTAATGTTCACTGCTTAACATAGTTCCAAAAAATTGTTAACATATTTAGGAAATATATTTCATTTAGCTTTTGAAAATTACTTTGTAAGGAACTTCTAAATTTCCAATTAAGACTCAAATTTTAATTCAATAGTCTTTAAATTGATTACAGGAAATCTGATCTGCTTTTAGATCCCACAGGTCTGTCTGGAATTGAGATACACAAAGGGCATGTGGCAACTGTGTTGCAGTTACTATTCTATTTGCATGTCTGTCCTAGATATTAAGATGAAAGAGTTTAAATATGACAATCAGTTATAGAGATCCTAGTTCTTCTGTTTAACAGTCTTAGAGATAATAATTCATTTTGATGTCACTGTCAGCTGGAGGAAGGGTAGGGAAACCTTTTGACTTGGCATGAAATCTTTTGATCTGATCCATTTTCCCTTGAAATATTTTCCAAGGTAATTAGTTATGTATGCCATAACTTGTTCTCCAAGAACCTCTTGGCATGAAATCTTTGATCTCTCCTGTTGGGCTGGTGGCTGATTGTTATCCCTGAAGGTACTGATATAGCAAGAAACCCCACTGCATCCAGTGACTGCTCTAAATATTGTCTGTTTTGGATAGAGGTGTTATGATCTCAAAATCAGGTTGTTTGGGTTGAATGCATCAAGGTTAAGTAAAAAGGAGACTGTAATCCTCCACTGGCCAATTGCCATGGTCTCTTCAAGGTCTTGCTGATTGTTGGGATGCTTGCCCTTAATAGAAAACTAAGTGGGCTTTCCTAGCATCCTTCCTGGCACTATGTACTTAGGCAAAAGTGCATCTTCATAAGGCTTCACAGATGGTGTTGACTATGAAGAGCTAAAGTTCGAAGTATAGGTTGCTGCCTTATATAGTTAAAAAGAAAAAAATGTTTTACAGTACACTGGATCAGTTTAGTATAAATTTCAAAACAGTAAAATAAAATCTAGACTTGGTGCAGATTATATTGGCACTATATGAAATTGCAATACAAGCCTGTGCATGGAAGTGACCCTGTTGTGTTGGCAGGATACTCTCAATATAGTTTGGACCTCATATATCTTAAGGTAACATTGAAAAAATTATTCTGACAAAATAGCATGCATAAGGTTGTGCTGTAAAATTGCAAAGTTTGTTTCCCATAGGAGGAAGCAATCTCAGTGAACTGAGTAGAATTTATTTCACAAAACATTTATGGAATTGTTTTCCTGGGTGACAATACACATTTGTTGGTAAATCTCATCAATTCCCATAGCGCTTTCCTACATACATGAACGGGAACTGATTCCTTGGAAATAAGATGTACTGAAAGAAATCAGAAGATTTGACTCATTCTTTTTGCAGCCGTTTCTTACCCTCTCAAAACCTAGCCCAAATCACAAATGCTTGACATACAGCACAAATGACTAGAAGTCAATGGTAAAACTCAGAACAGCAACTTGCACTTTTAGCTTGCAAAACTAATGACAGCTGTAGGAGTTAAGTCTCACTGTTATCAGTAGATCTTACTTGTGATTAAGCACTCATAAATGACATGGCTGCAACCCTAAAGTTACAGAGGATTTATTTGGAATCCTCCCTCGAGATTATATCTTCCCGAATGAATTGGAAGATTGGCTGTCCGCTGCAAAAGGTGACAGAAAAATCCCCCCCCCTCCCCGGCAATATGAGACCGCAATTATAGTTGTGTAATGGTCTCTCCCCGAGTCCTTGTTTCCCACCTTCCTACCTTGAAGGCGATCGGCAGAGTCTTGTTGCACCTCCAATGGGTCGGCAGGACAGAGCAGAGGAAGTTGGGACTGTCGGTGCGGACCAGTTCTCCCGGATGATCGGCTAAGACATCCACCATGCTGCGATCTGCGTTTCTCAGCTTCCCCACCAGGGCGCTGCTGCCGTTCTCTTGGCCGACCAGCGGCAGCGCGTCGCTCATCTTGCCCGGGCTCAGAGTGGTGGAGGGCGGCGTGAAGCGGCGGCTGGTGCTGGTATCTACGGGGATACGCATCACAACAAGCCTTTTGAGTGAAAAAGGTCCTCAGAGGGCTTCGGATAAAGCGGTACGAGCACAACTCTTCAGCCGGAGGTTCTCGGGAGACCAACATAAAAAGAAAGAGGCTTAGGGTCCCGGTGCAGAAGGGGCAAACGAAGCGCAGCCAGTCCAGGAGCGAATTTGGACTAGTAGGACAGAGCAGGGGAACGCCGTGGCTCCTGGTCCTGCCAGAATTAACGCAAGCATCCAGTTTTAGGCTGCTCTTCTCTGGAAATCTATGTGTGCTCTTTACAAACTAAAAACGGCCTTATAGATTCGGACAAGTTGCTCTCCACCCCCTCGGGGAATTACCAGTGTGATTAAAATCAAAGGTCCTTCCGAAATCCCACACACTGAGAAACGTTCTGAGCAGAGGAAATGTTTGAAACAAAACAACCCCCACCACGCATACACACAGACAAAAGGAGGGAAGGACCTAGACTTTTCAGTAGTTAATTTCCTATTTTTCGAAGTTTATATTCTTCCCCTCCCGCTGCTCCTAAAAGGCCGTCTAGAATTCAGATCAACGCATCAGTCTCTTGTCGCAAACATGGATGGGGGGGGGGGAGAAGCGGTTTAAAAGAAACTGGGGAAACAGGCTGCAAAGGACGTGAGCTGAGGTTTTCAAAGGTCAAGCGGCTATCACAGCATTATATAGTGTACTTCATCAAATATTTACAGCTGACTCTATAGAGAATTTAAACACAACAGAACTCCATTAATGTTCTCCAGCAGCGTCCTTCCCCCCCCCCCACTCCCAGCCAGAGCAGCCTTGAACCCCAGTGTGAGTAGTTTGCCTCGCGTTGCTCTTAAGTCTTGCTGTCCCGGTTTCGCAATGCTTTGACTAAACTACTTAGAGAGGCTGCTTGAATTCAAAAGACTCTTGTACAAGTCCTGAGATGTCAGTGTGCCAACAATCTGAAACGCGCCCGGAGGGGAGGGAGAAAAAAAAAAAAACCCTTTTGGTTGGAGTTGCTGGTTGGGTTGTGGGTTCTTTTCTGTGGTTAATATTCGCAGCAATTTTAGAAGACACGAGTCTGAAGTCACCCAACACTCTGCGGCCGCTGCGTGAGTCACTGCCAACTGTGGAGGAAAATATCTGAAGTAATATTCCTCCAATTCACCCACAGGGGCCGGCTTCTCAGCTAGGGTTTAACCACAATCAGGTGGAGCTCTGCTTTCGGGACCGCCGTTGGTTTTCCCCTCATTTCTCAGTCCTCCCTTCGCGCGCTCTCCTTCAACTTCACAAATGGAACCTTAACTCGAGGCTAAGTGGTACAGGTCTTCTCTCAGACAGGGCTAGCAGCACACGCGGTGGCCAGACAAAACAAAACACAGTTCTACAGTAAAGAGCAAAACAGTCCCCCGCGAAGTACGAATCGGCCAAACACCGGAGCTTCCTCCCGGCAGAATTCGCGATCCCAAAGCAGAAAAAGTGTTCGTGTGTTCACCAGACTCCAACGGCAAGCTTTCCCGAGGTCTGCTCCCCGTACAGGCCAGTCTCTCCAGCTGTGTGTGACCTTCTGCGAGGCGCTGTTTGTTTGCTCATGCTGATCTGAAAGAAAGCCTCGCTCCCCCTCCTCCTCCCCCCTCCCTCGCGCCTTCTGGCCCTATGAATGGAGATGACTGGAAATGAATTTGCTGTTACAGTAAGAGAGTCCAGAGGAATGTCATTCCCTCAGCTCTTTTGCATAGGGGAGGACGCCACCCAATCAGAACGCTTTCCGGTATTAATCAGGGCGCGGCTCAAAGCCGCGGGGCTCCTGGAATTGGCTTGTGCGCCGCCGCAAAAGCTACTGTAAAAGCCCCAAACAGGCCCCGCGTCTCAATGGGACGCCGCGGTCAACGGGAGGCTTAGACCAAAAACGTGTGTGGTGGCGGCTGTGCTTGTGTCGGGGCTGTGAGGAAAGGCGGGCGAGGGGCAGAGGTGGGGTGGAGAAGGGCGCGCGCAGTCCTCCTCCCCCTGCGCACGGCTCCTCGAGGGATCAATAAAAGGTGGCGAAAGTAGCTCTTAAGGAGCTCTGTCATTTGAACGGTTTGACGAACAAGCGCGCACCGCCCAAAGCAGATCCCCTCAGAGTCGACGGCCGTGCAGAATCTCTTCAGAGGCTCTCTTAAATGGCCGGTTCCACTCGCGACTGAGCTGCTTCAGTCCCCCATAACTGCCAGAGCTAAGAGAGAAGAAGGAAGTGTGCCTGGCTGCGAGCAAATGAACAGCTGTTGTATTTATGCCATAGATAACGTGTTAAGAAAGCTTGCAGCCCTTCTCTCCTCCACACATGGGAGCATCAGGTGGTAAAAAGTGAAAAGAAAGGAGAAAGGCCACTCCGGGAAGAGGATAACTTTTCTCTTCCCATCTTCCCAAGCCATTTTATTTTGGCTTCATCTGCCTATATAAAAACCAAGGAAATTGATGTGTGACACTGGGCAACATAAAGGTACAGTTCAGGATGCCCGTGAGAGATTCACCTGAGATATTTCTTCCTGCTATACAGCTCCTACAACTATTAGCAAGCCTTTAAGAGAGGAAACTTCACACTTTTTCCATCTATCATGCATTTCTACTCATTTCAGGATCCTTTTGAAAATACAAATTCCCATCTTGCATCTTTTTTTAACCAAAGCCTCACATCTCTGAAGATTACAGGCTTATCCTCAAATTTCCCTGACTATAATATGAATGTGTCTTGCTACTTTTTTTAAAAAAATATGTCTTGGTGACATGTATCTCATCCCAAGCCCACAGCTGAAGCATCTTAAAGTTGCCCAAAACTGATCCAGTTTTAAAGTTAATGCTTTTCCTCTTCTGGCATATGTTTTTGCCACAAATATAGCATATTTCATCAACAATTTTACTGCTGATGAAATCATACTGAAATCTACAGAGTTCCTGTTGGCCAGTTTAGACTTCAGTGGGCACTGAAATCTGCTCTCAGTGATGATTTTAGTTGGGATGTAGGAGAGACTTTTGTTGTTAATTGTGAAGTTGTGTCCAACCTATGGTGACCCCATGGACAGGAGAGACTAGGGAGCTGGTTTTCTCAGAGACATCTGTCCATCTAATGCTTGATTGGTACTTTCCAGTGCCCTTTTCAGATCTTACATGGGCTTTTTATAAACAAAAGTTTACACCTCTTTTGAAAAAGTGCCAGGCCTTTTTTAAAAAAAGCAAACAAAATAATGGTTTCTTGAAACATGCTTGTCCTGTGTGCTGCATTGGTTGATTCTGATTAAAAAAGAGCTCAGTTTTACCAGCTGTGGTGTTGATTCTGTCACCATTGGTACAAGTTTCCTGCTGGTCCTGCAACAAAGGATTTCATATGGTTCTGCTTTTTTTAAACTATTTTTATTAGTCTGCTTGGAAAGGAGAAGGTTTATTGTGACTATTCTATTTTAGATCCTTTGCTGTCTTTGGGGCAGATCTGGATTTGCTGCCAGCACTGCCATTCCTTAGGTCACTATGGATTGATCCTTCACATTTCATCCTATGCTCTTCAAATTCTGTCATTCTGGCTATTTTGGAGCATGCCTTCAGTTTTTTAGAAGAGCAATAAAGCCATGTTCAGAAGTAGCCCCATGGTGCATCTTCTTCACATCTGTGACCAGTAGCTAGGCCTTCTCTTATAGTTACACAAACCCAGAGTAAGGCAGAATGATTGGTGATTGTTTTCCTACTTCAGATGATGTATCGTAGATGGGAAAATAAACTCATGAAAATTTACCAGTCACTTTCCTTGATTTGCCTGGCAGTAGAGTATGGCAATCCATGCAGCAAATTTCATGCCAATATATTTTTCTGCATGCTCAAGGATGATGGACACTACTTTAATGCAACAGCCTGGCTGTCCCATATATTCAAATGCTAGGTAACTGACTCCATTCGGTGTTCCTCTGGAGGCATACAAAGTACCTTGCAAAATTTGATCAAAGCCTGTAAGCACTGAGACATGTTGTGGCTCAGTTATAAAGATAATGTTATTTTCTTAGTTCTTCAGAAAGTCGGGCCTCATTCCAAAAGCTTTTGGCCCAGAACAGAAAGTCATATGTTTTCCAGTCCTTCTCCCTTTTCAGAGCATTGAGAACCAATGTACACAATAAGTGATCCTGAGTTGAGCTTAGTTTTTTTGGGAAAAAATTCTGATTCCTCCTAGGGTATCCCTCTTTTCTGTACCTTAAAGCAGTGGTCCCCAACCTTTTGGGCACCAGGCATCAGTTCCATGGAGAAAGGTTTTTCCACAGACCAGAGAGGGTATGGTTTTGTATACTGCCTGCATTCTACAGATGGGGCTTTGCTTGTTTGCGCTGCCCAGTTGCTGACATGCCATGGACCAGTGACAGTCCATAGACTGGGGATTGGAGATCTCTGCCTTAATGTACAGATGCCCACCACACTATCTAGTTTCTAGCTATGAGTGAAAGATGCAGGATAACAAATGTATATGGCAACCTGTGGAGGTGAGAAATGCATTTTTTTTTTTAAAAAAAAGCTCAATATGAGGATCCAGGTTTCCCAATAAGCAGAACTGCAGCCCTTCAAAATTTGTCTTATTTGTCCTGTAGCCTAGCAGTTGCACGTTGTTTGATTCTATAGTTTTACAAGTTTACATTTATTTAAGATTTTTGTTTCTCTGACAGTTCTCTTGACACAGATAATAATTCGGGTGGGGACTTCCAGATGGAAATAATGGCAGAAATATATTGCAATAACCATATTTTTGGTTCATCCAAGTGAGTGTTCTAGTCTTTTAGAGGCATATTGTTTTATTTCTATACTGTAATATGCTGGGGGACACTTTAAAACTTTATAGAATCATTGGATTTCCATTTGTCTATGTACTGATATCATACATCAGGGAAAGTTTATAGCCAATTGAAAGGATCAAAAAATATATTATTTTTTACCATTCTTTTTAAAAGCACATCCAGGTAGAGCTATATTCTATTAATATTTTGATTTCCTCACTGATCAAATTCACTATCATCCTTCAGCCTACCCTCCATTTCACAAGAGTATGGTTCTCACAACATATTAAAGAGCAAACTCTTCAACAATAAAAGTGTACATGGTATCATTTTCCTGCTATGCCCCCATGCCATGAGACTCTTAACATCATGCAAATTCAAAATGGATGCTGTCTAGGGTGAATAGACTTTAGTTGATGTTGGCTACATAATGTAGGGTAGGGGGATTCAAAAAAGCTGTCTATTTTGACTTCATACAAAATGATCCTTCAAAACCTGAGTAAAATATAGTATGTAGGAGCTGAACATGGCATGTATACACTATCATTTATTTAATATTTTGTTTCAGTGTACTATATGAAAATGTGCCAGGTTGTTGAAAGGATGACAATACAAAACTCACACACATATAGCACAAAACTCTCTAAACAAAGAGTAAGAAAATAATGATTTTCCATACAAATGATTGCACAAATGATGTGTGGCTGTTATATGCACAAAATATTATCGAATCAATTCTGGAATCCTAAATTAGAAGGACCTGGAATTGCAGTATGTTCACTATCTAAAGTATTATTAGAATTATTATTATGGTACAGATAAACAATATCACTTAACTCTATTTATAGTTTACAGCACTGATGAAAAGAAGTAGCACTATAAGGCCTATGCATCTTAATACAGGTAGTCCTCAACTTATGGTCACAATTGAACCCAAAATTTATGTTGCTAAGTAAAAAATGTGTTAAATGAGTCTTGCTCCATTTTACGACTTTTCTTGCCACATTTAAGTGGATCACTGCAGTTGTTAAATTAGGAACATGGCTGTTAAGTGAATCTGGTTTCCTCATTAACTTTGCTTGTCAAAAGGTCACAAAAGGTGATTGCATGACCCCGGGACACTGCAACCATCATAAAAGTTGTCAAGCATCCAAATATAAATCACGTGACCATGGGGATGCTGAAAGAGTCATATGTGTGAAAAATAGTGATAAGTTTTTTTTCAGTGCCGTTGTAACTTTGGTCACTGAGCAAACTGTTGTAAGTCGAGTACTACCTGCAGTGCTTTTTTTCTAAAAAAAAAAAAGGTGCCAGAACTCACACACATCATACAACCCGCCTTGCCTACCCTACAAGGTTCCATCCAAAAAAGGTGCTGGAACTCTGTTCTGGGCGTTCTATGAGAAAAAAAGCCCTGACTACCTATATAGTTGTTCCAAACAAATAGCGGTAGCACTTAGACTTATATACTGCTTCACAGTGCTTTACAGCCCTCTCTAAGTGGTTTACAGAGTCAGCCTATTACCCCCCCCCCAACAATCTGGGTCCTCATTTTACCGGCCTCGGAAGGATGGAAGACTGAGTCAACCTTGAGCAGGTGAGAATTGAACTGCCGAACTTCAGTCAGCAGAAGTAGCCTGCAGTACTGCATTCTAACCACTGCGCCACCACTATGTTTCAACTAAAGGTACACATATGCACATGTCTACTAATTTCTTTTGTAAATACTGGAAATTTGGTTGAGGACATTTTTTCATTAAAACAAGTGATACTAAGGGTAAATTACAAAAGTAGATAGCATAGCACTTACTTTTTTTTTTTGCAAAAAGCAAGGATTACAGCCTACCATAGCCCTCATTAATCAATATTGTGCTTTAAAATCTGCTGTATAAATGGGCACACTTATTGTGGATGATGGGAATTGTAGCCCACATGTGGAAGGCATTGAGTTGGTAAAGACAGCACAATTACTTTTGTTCATCTTATTTCTTTTATGGCAAATCCTGTTAGATTTGGCATACTCTCCAAATGACTCATGATGTATCCACGGTAAGTAATCACTAGCCAGTAATGTGACCCACAATGGGGGCAGCATTTACATAAAACAGAAACTGTTTTATTTCATAAATGAATGAAGTCATCCAATGAATAATAGCATAATAATCATTTTTACAGACGATTAACAAGGGAAGGGAACAAGGGAAACACAGTCCTGCAAAATTTGATGGAGTCTGGGGGGTGGGTGGGGTAGGGGTGGGGATGTTCTGTTGAAACCGATTTCTTGCCACTTTATATTACATCAGTCTACAAAGCACTGCAACATGTATTATTAATTATTAATTTAAATTTATTGGCTGCCCAACTCTATTGGCTGACGCCTACTAAAGCTTATACTATAATATACTGTACAGTTTAGTCTGATCCCGTGGTTGTTTATGCTGCAACGAACTAACTTTTTTGGAAACCACTACTAATTTGGACACCCACATTGTCATCCCTCCTTTCTCATTAGACTGTCTTTCGGAAGCAAGGCAAGACAGTGCCTAATGTGCCAGGTCCAGGGAAGAGTGACTGTTCAAAATTAAATAAAAACTGGTTGAAGGCAATTCCAGCCCATTGCTAAAGTTATACAATTTACATAGAATACTACCCCCCATCACACTTTTAGAGGATTGTTATACTGCCATCTCACACTCTGTCTATATCACACAAGATAATAACAAACTGCCACAAGAAATAAGGCTTTTTTTGTTCATTTTAGGGAAGGCAGGACTGAAGACCTAAACACACCCTCTGGGGTGGGTAGATGCGCAGCAGATAACCGGAGAAAGGAAAGCTTGCAAGCGTTTCTTTCTTTAGATTCCTGGGGAGCCATGGAGAAAAGGCGTGCATGGAAGACAGGAAACTGTTTCCCAAGAGAATAAAGGAGGAACGTTAGTTTAGCAAAATCCGTTGCATAAATCTGCAACATGGAAGAAACCACAGAAGTCTGGTGTGGGGGCAGGGAGGAGGGAGATGGTCTGGTGCAATCTCAAAGAGGAAGCGGGTTTTGTTTTTTTTTTCAAAGCTTGTTATTTCTTGGTTTCTCTAGCTGCCCACAGTTGGATTGAGCAATGGGTCCGGAAACCTCAAGCCAAGGCGGCTTTGAACGCCTTCGAGAGCCTCTTAACTCTGCAGGCAGCCGGAGTGGACGCCAGAGGGGGCTCGAAGCCTTTGACCTTCCCTCGCGGAGACAAAGCGGGACCGGCCTCAAAGACAATTGTTGGGTGGTCTGGGGGAACGCAAGGGAGGAGAAGACAGTCCCACCTGTTTGGGGTCCCTTCAAGATCCTTGCTTGCATCTGCGTGGATTTAATGGGTACAAAGAGGCGGCAATATCAGTAGAGATAACTCTGGGATTCTAGGGCGCGCTCTCTAGAAACGGCGCTGTAGCAAAGGCAACAACTCTCCCGCCTCCGCATAAACTCTTTACCTCCACCTCTGCAGCAGTTAAAACAGGCAGAGCACAAAAATGCTGGCTGATTCACCCGGCAGAACACCCTGGCAGGGCAAATTAATCCGAGCGATTAACGGTGGGATCTAATCTTGAGCGACTCAACTTTTCATTCCTTCTTTGTATTGACAAACGTGGCAAAGAGGAGCTTTAAAGGAGCGACGCCTGTAAAAGCTGTCATCGGATGGAATCAGGCCGTCAGCCGTAGGGCGGGACCAGGTCTCAAGCGGGATGAACCAGACTTTCCCCCTGCACACAACAGCAAAAGAAGAGCATCGCCCGAGGCCGGGAGCCTTCCTGAAAACGAGCGTGGGATTGAAACCGCGCAAGGCAGCCGAGCGGTGGCTGTGGCGCTCGAATGCAGGCGGTGGGGGGTAACGGTTTTTCTTGGAGCGAGCATAGAAGTCGCGTCGCTGTGACTTTTAGCTCATGACCGAATCGCTCCGTCTTGCTCCGCCAACTGATTAAGCCATTGAGCACTTCAAAGAAATCGTTACTCTCCGTCCGAGAATGGCGGGGGATCTGTGCAAAGGCCGACGTCGCCCTGCCCTATGGGGCATTCAAAAGCCGAGAGACGTCCCCACATCCCCAAGCACGCGTAAAGGCCAGAGGGCAAGACTGGGCGGATCCGGAGAGCACTTCGTTCTGGCTTCTCAAGAGAATCGGCTGGAATCACAAAGAATCAGGCGATTCAAAGCCCAGATGCCCACCACATCCCGCTAGTTCTGCTGTGCTGAAAAAACCACAATTGTTCCAACTTGTACCGTGCCAAAAGCCACAAACCATGTTTACCAAACCACAGTGGCTGAGATCCCCTATCGTGCTAAACCATGAATCACAATTTACAAACCACAGTGGTTCACACCGCAAGTTAAAGCAGAACCAGTCAATCCCCAATGTGGTTTTCTGTTTCTCACATTATCCACTTTTCTCCAGCTGTTACACTCCGGATGCGTTTGGCTACGATTCCCACCCTTCTCCCACCTGATAGAGGTTGTGTAGTAGTCCAACGCATTTGAAAAGCACCTTGGTTTATTCAATGCACAGGCCTTGAAAAACATCAATTGCATTTTAGTCTCACCCCAACTCTTTACTTAAACCCAAGTCCTTCTGCATAGTCCCTGAGACGTAAGAAAGTGAAATAGATTATCCCCCTTAAATTTAGGGGGAGGGGGCGGCTTGCTGAAAGATCCCTAGGAAGTTCATGAATGCCAACATCGGACGGTAACAGAATATGGGTAACATTTTTGTTTGAAAAAAAAAAACCTGCTTAAGATCGGCTCATCTTCGTAAAATTCGATATTAAATTCGGAAATGAATATTTGGAGAATATTCTCTGGCCAGTTAGGACTTTTAAACTGCATCGTTCTTCCCTGTTCTGGCATAGAGAGAAGAGCCGACAGTCACTAACACAACGGGCCACGTTTGAAGGAGCAGGAGGCTGACGAGCCCGTGGAAGCAGCTTGGTCCTCAGTGCCCAGGGATGGGTATTTCTGAGGGCCTAAATTCCCTAAATTCAAAGAGAGGCCAGTTGGGACTCAAATGAATCCAGCAGGAAATCGGACGGCTCAACCAAGCCCTCGGAGTGCAATGGTGTTTTCCCGCGAGGGCTCTGCAAATTCTGAAATCCCTGAACTTGGTAGCCTTCAAAATTACGTTTATTTTCTCACTGTTAGGAAGTGAGCCGTAAATTGTTGCAGTGTATGCATTTCAGTGTAATTCAGTTCCAACTGATCCCGCATCCAAGTTACCACGCATCACTTTCCCCATTCCTGAGAAGCTGTCCTGGCTGGAAGCATCCCACTTAAACGGGGGATGCGGGGGAGGGACGGGAAGGGAATAGCGAAGGGGGCAAATTTCTCCCCATCCCCTAAGTTAATTGGAGAGCAACTTATCTCTAGCTTTGGAGCTTTTCACTTTAACCTTGAACCGTGGGCTGACGGCTTGAGAAGGAAAAGATTCTGATAGGTTTGGGAGTGCCAGAGCTCAAACAACTGTTCCTTTACGATCTCAGGTTCCAGGGGTGCTTGTATTCCCGCTTCCAATTGAATTGTCCCCCATTCCCCGGGTGCTTAGCGCGGGAACGACACTTTTTTTTCTTTTCTTTTTTTTTAAGCAAAGCACGTCTACGTTTTTCTCGTTCTGTTTTCAGGCGCGTCGGCCTTTCGCGTCTCGACGTTATTCGGCTTTCTCCCCCAGGCTCGGGAGCAAGCGAGGCCAACTGTTTACTTAAAAGGAAACCCCGCTCGGGATGGACCTCTTCTCCCTAAACCGCGACGTTTAACCGGCTTGCAAACCTAAACGACGGCGTATATATTTTAAAGCAACCCTCGCTCCTTGAAATTCGTCAAAAATGATCTTCAATACCCGTGGGTACTTAAGAAAGGCAAACAAATCATTCCTCTCTTCTAATTCTAAGGCCGCCAACGGCTAGTCAAACTTTCTCGGGTTGTTTTTTTTTTTTTTTTTTTTAATTTTTTCCTTCCTTGGGTTCCAAAATCAAATCAAATCCCACCCTCGCCGGCAGCGGCCCATCGAATCATCGAGCCGAGTTTTTACGACGGATGCCCGTGAAAGGGAAGCCAACACTTTAGGGCCGGCGCTGTCGAAAGTGCCGAGATGAAACGGAAGGGGCGCGATCCGGAGGCTGTAGGCGCAACTCCGGCGGAGGGGGGTCAGGACGCGCCTATTACAAACCTCCAGCGCTTTAAAGCTGACAAGTAGCGCAGCGCGGCGCGGCCAGAAATCACTTCGCAAAGAAGCATTTTGGGACACCAGAAAGGCCACACGAGGCACGCCACATTGTACATAAAATCCACAGGCCGTGATCTCATCCAGTAAAATAGTGCCATGTCCCAGAAGCACTAAAGGCAGTACTGGGATTCAGCCAATTCGCACCACTTCGGCAGAACCGGTAGCTAATTTTTTGTTGTCCAGGCCCAGAATGGACTTCCGGAAGCGGCAGAGAACCGGTGGTTCACATATTTGAATCCCACCACTGATTAAACGGACCACAAAATCTTTTGTGCCGACTAACTCTGCCGTGAAGAGGGGGGGTTAAGCTAGATGACCCACATGCTCCCTTCCGATTCGGCCCTAAACGCCCCCGTCTCTTCTCTGTCTTTGCCTCTCAGGCTGTCTCGCATGGGAACAATCGAGGCAATGTCTTAATTATAGGGTTTGGGAGAATTGAAATTCGGTTTGATCAGCTAGACGGAGAAAATCCTTTTTTAGTCTTAAAAAAAGACAATATTACCTTATGGAAAGAAAAGTGACGTCATAAACCCTTGGCTGATTCAACAGGCCAACGCCTTCCCACTATTAGAAGATCGACGGACAAGCGCCCAAAAAGAAAAGAAAAAAAAAGCGCGGGGTGGTGGTGGTGGTGGGGTTTAAAACTCTGGTGTCGCGAAACTTGATTTCTACTTTTGCCCTTTATTTTGCGTTTGCACAATGTTGACAGATGTCTTTTGGGGGCAAGGGCAACGGCTTCGAATTCCCCAGTGAACATTTTATTGGGAGGAAAGCCCCACTGAAACCAGTCAGATCAAACATCAGCCACGTTCCGGGTTTTTTTTTTTTTATGATTGCAGTTGCGGCCAGAAGCGCACTGTGGAGCTTACAACAGGAGGCCTGTGGTCGGACTCGCCTTGCGACTTCAGCGGCGACGAAGGCGTTGGACCGTCCGGGATTCGCCGGGGACGTGATCCCCGTTTACCACTTCTCTATATTCAGAGAGATGGTGGCATCTGCAGCGACGCATGAAACAAACCCGTGACCCTTTTATGGAGGACTTTAGATATTTATTTTTAATAATCCCAGCTAGCATTTCAAGCAGGAGCAATGGGAAGGACACCTCCGGGCCCCACCTGACCCCCCCCCGGGTCAAAAGAGTGCGGGGTGAGGACACAGACATGCATAGAAAATGATTTTTTAAAAATCTTATTCCAGACTCACAATGGAATTGATACATGTTCCAAAGCAAAAATAAGGGAAAGCCTTGCAAACATTTTTAGAAGCAAAACCAACCAAAATTTTTCTGAAGAATTACCACTTTCATTTGTGAGTTCTCTAGCGCTTTCCCTTTTTCTTTGGTTTTTTTTTTTTTTTGAAGGCAAGATCAAATTACAGTTAAATTTAAACAAGTGTACTAGGATGATCTTTCTTTCTTTCTTTCTTTCTTTCTTTCTTTCTTTCTTTCTTTCCTTCTTTCCTTCCTTTCTTTCTTTCTTTTTTTGCTATTGCAGCATGTTTCTGTCACAGAAGATTACTGGGATGCAAAGCATCTAGCTTTTAGGTAATGTCGTTAAGCAAAACCTTTGGAAATCCGAGAAATCAACAAATGATTTTTAAAGCAGGACATATTGCAAAGGGGGAAAATTGAAACACAGATGTAACGGAAGCCTCTGTTATGCCATTCCAGTACAGTACAGTACGGTGTGTGCTACATTAGAGCTGAGTGATTGGATGCCATTAGAAGGCATGTAGTATCGAATAGCTAATTTTTTTTGCTTATTTTGGTAGAAGCAATAAACCAATACATCCCTCTTCATGGCTATGGAAACATTAACATCTGTGCATCTATCTGCCCCAACCTGGTCTATCCAGGTAAATCAGATTGCAGCTCGCATTTCCAGCCATTGCGGACTAATAGACAGGATTTTCTGGGAATTATGGGAACTTCAGTCCAGTGTGGATGTCAGCCTGGGAAATGCTAATGGATAATATTCATCCATAGCTTTGTTTGTCAATCATGTTCACAAGGAGGAAGAAGACATTGTTTTCTGAATACCAAAGACAATCGCTCCCCAGAAATGTGCTAGGATTTCAGTGAGAAATTCAATAAGGATGAAGATATTTTTCCCCTCCATAACTACTGATTATGAACTCACATGATTGCCCATTCCAACTGTGTCATATTCAGTCTAAAATATGACTCAGAATGATGTCTGCAAAAGACAGAGCTTCCATGGTAGATAAAGTCAGTGTGTCGACTGAAAACTACAATCTTAAGAGATTACCAGTTGTTCATCTTTATGGCCAATTCAAAGTCTTTTTTGTCTTTGATCCTGCAGGTTCACTGTAATTGTGCAACATTGTCCAAGGAACTGTATAACATACTACATAACTATTGTATTATGTTATGATTGGAACATGACAGGGAAGTCCTCATAGTGCAAGAAACAAAGCAGGCAGAGAGGAAAGAGCTGGCATGTCTTCAGTTAACAACATACTTCAAATTCAACTTCAGACATTCATTGAGTTGATTCATTGCAGTACTATGGCCCACAGCTCCTTCTTGGGTAACAAAAAAATTGGCCCAATATGATCAGTGCACATCCGGTGAGACTGTTATATTTGTGATAAGTTTCACATAGAATATGAACAGGTTGTATGTTCACATGCTGTAAAACACAATGTTTTCAAAAGAGGCTATTCTCCCATGTAAATACAAACTAGATGTGATATATGCAGATTACGTATTACATGCATTATTTAACTAAGCAAACCAAACACAGTTTTAGAAAAGTGCACGATTAAGTGTAAAACATGGTAGGAAAAGATAGATGCCATTTTCTTATGCCTGAATGAAAAAAAAAACAGGAAGGAATGGTTTTAGTAAAAATTAGCCAAAATTGTTAATAGTTTTCTTCCTTCCATCATATTCCTCTGTTTCAAATCATCCTTGTTTACTTTTAAATAAATTGATATGTTGTAGATATTTACTCGTAGCACATAATTTTTCCTTTACTTGTGACACACTCCTGACCAATGGTATTGAACGAGTAGTGAATGATGTGATTTGCTGTAGTTGAAACAGAATTCTATTTATATAGCCTAAAATGTCATATGATTTTGACAAAGTGTCATAGTGTTATCTCATGTTCAGAAAGTGAACCACAGGTGGTTTTCTGGTAGAGAGGAGTTTTCTTCACCTGCAGATTAATAATTTTGTTGTGGAATGTTAACCACCGCCACACTGCATCAGTTCTGTGTGGCTTTACACTAGCGTGTAGCTGGTTAAAAAGAAACAAATGCATCTTTTGAATTTCGGAGTTCTATATATGTAATGTGCTTCATTATATTTTTTTTAAAACTCAAACAATGCCATGAAGAGACATAAAGCTAAAATCTTAAAAAAATGTTCAGACTGAGCAATGTTTTGTTTACATGAGGCCTAGAAGCCTTCTGCAAGATGTTTACTATTACATCAGCTAAGTTGCAGACTGGTTAAGAATTTCTGCAATACAGTTACCTATTAACTATGAATCAACACCAATAATCATTGTTCACAGCAAGAGTTGAAGGTTAGAGTTGCAAGTGAATCTTACTATTATTTTATTTTCCATTACTATCTACTTGCAGCTAAAAATGCAATCCCTTTGGAATTCATGTAATTTGTTTTAATAGCCATTCACCTCTGTTGGTCAATTTAACCTCTTTGGCAACAGAACAGTTTCTATAACAAGATGCAGGAGAGAAATAGAAGGTGCAGATTATCAAGATGCTGATGTTGAGGATTGAAGATATTAGAAAATAGTGATAAAGAATAGCTTCATTTTGTTTTAACATCCTGAATTTTCAGTAGGTGCTACAATTGTTTTGCTGAACTGAACCACAACTGATTTTGTTTGATAAAGTTATAAATAAATAAATTGTAATAAATTAATGAAATTGAATTACGGTTATGTAACATGAGATTCCTTAGGGAATGATTTGACTAATCTTATTACATATTTAAAATCATCCATGAAATATTAATGTACACTAGGTATGTTTAGGAGAGTCAGTTTTGTGTTAAAGCATTAGGCTAGAAACCAAGAGAGTTGGTTCTAGTTCTGACTTTGGCACTACGTTACCTGGGTGACCTTAGGCCCACCCCTCTCTCTGAGCCTAGGAAGGAAGCAGTGGCAGACCACTTCTGAAAAATCTTGCCAAAAAAACTGCAGGGACTAGTCCAGGCAGTCACCAGAAATCAAAAACTGACTCAAAAATGGGTGTGTGCATGTGCACGCATGCGTGCGCAAACATACACAGTATGTTAAATCCAATTGGATGAGCTAAATTACAATGATGATCGGTGCACTGTTGAAAGACCCAAAAGACAAAGTCAGGGACAGATCATCCTGGAGAAAATCTATGCGGTCACTAAGAGTCAACTTCAACTTAATGGCACATAATCACTCAATCAGTCAGTCAAGCAATGTCAAACACAAATGTGTTAATGATGGAGGAGGAAAAACTATCTTCAGATAGTATGTGCATTGTATAAAATTTAATTTCCATATGTTATATGTTAAAAGAATTCTCTATATAATAGATTTTGAATAGTATAACAATACAATTAACTTTTGAAAAGTTGTTTTAACCTCAGGATAGGAAAAATCTTTTGTAGTTCAATGTCTCGTAACCTTAGTGTTCATTTATCCAAATATTTGATTTTGGAATAAGAACCTTAAAAACTGTAAATATGAACAATACTGAATTCTTTATAGTCAGATATCTACCAGAACAGCTTTTTGGAATCTCTAAATTACTTAGATTCCCCACAAGAGTTTTTAATATTGAGTACTGGCCATCTGAATTATAAATCAATTAAATCAGAAGGATTTACTTTCATGTTAACTTGAAATGAATGGAACTAGCGTGGCTTGAATCCAAATCTACCGGTGAGCGATGATGCAAATTCTGTTTTCAACCTGGTTTCATTTAAATCCATATCAACTCTTTCCTGGCTTGGATGGAGCTGGAATTGCAATATTCATATCTAATCTTCTTCCCCCATCTGTCTGCATGAGCGTGAAGGAAGAGATAGAGTCTCCTATGAGTGAGATATCACAGCACCATTTTTAGAAGGAAGTGAAAGACTTTGAGGGAGGCTTAGATGAGCCTTTGTATCTTCTTATCATTTGGTACATTTGCTTCCCAAAATTGATAGAAATTTTCTGTTGTCAGATTAAGAGTTAACATAATTTCATGTAATACTTCTTCACTGCATATACATGTACAAATATTATTCACTACACAACTCATACCTAAGGAACAATACCAAATATCCCAGCAGGCAAATCAACACCAATAAAAAAGCACCACAGCATTATTACCTTTATTATTTGAAGACTAATGACCATCCCTACCCAACCTTTAACTGTGGTTTCTGAAGATTGAATAACCTATTCACAAAAGGAAAATTACTAAGAATAGTGATATTATCTGTTTTTAATTATAAAAGCTAAGTGATTCTTTTGTTCTTAAACAAGTGGCATATCCATCGTTTAATTGGTTCAGTTAAAATGTTACAAAATAGGAAAATTGACTTAATAAAGTGATTTCTCCTTAAGTGGGACAAATACTCCTTAAGTGGGAATATTGCCTTGAGTGGTCCAGGTATTTGCTAGCTTTAAATAAACCATCTTCAAATCACATCACATTAAAACATTTGTTTTAATATGAAATATATATACCCTTTGGAGCAGTAAGTGCCATGCAAGTTCACAAAAGAACTTCAGGAAAGTTCAGGAAACTCAAGCATAAAGTTTTCCTGAATGTCTGAATTCCATCTATCATTCTTTTTGCTGTTTAGTGAACCGCTTCAGAATTTGCACTACAATTATGAAGAAATAGAATACTTCCTTAAAATAGCTATATGAGAGCCATCTTGCAGTAGAAGAAATACTAGAGCATCTGATTTTAGATTCATCCCATAGACTTTAACACACACACACACACACACACACCACCACACCATCGGGAGAAAAATAGTTGTATGAATTTGATCTGGGACGTGTTCTGAATGTCATTCATATGTAGAGTTCAAATCTACAAATGATTCACTATATTGGGCTTTACTTGCTGTCATTAGTAAAAACCATTTATTACTAGCAAAATGGAGCTGCAAATGAAAACATTATAAATAGGTTTTTGACCCTATTGTCTTTTTTCTGAGCTATATGTTTAGCTAAGAGAGATAAATTACAAACAGTCCAAATTCATTTAGTTTATTAAATTGAAGGTATCATGCCATGAATATTGTTTATAATTTTAGCTGCATTTTAAACTTACTTGAATTGTATACACGTGCAACACATAATAGTTACCAAATTATGTATAACCATAAACTTTCAAACAGCCCTTATGGTTAAAGATAGATAGGAATATTACTACAAGTGAATTAATTATACTTGGCATAGTTTTTTACATTCTGAAGTTCACAGAATGTAAATAAATATTGGTATCAAAACAGTGACCATACTTGTGTTTTGAAAATGTAGTATTTTTTTCCCCCACTCTTTGCAATAGTCTGTCAGCGTACAATGAAGTCACTGACATTTTAAGAGTTAGGATTTTTTTCCTAACTGAAATTCATTTTGTTTACATAGTTTAAAATGTGAATGAAAAGGGTTTCAGAAGGTAGTCTGAAAAACAAAAGTCAGAATCACAAAGAGAACATCAACAAAGCAAGAAAAATTACCCTGAGTCCTCAATGGTTTTATTCATTAAGCAAATCATTAATCACAATTTCAGCTTGGTCTGGAAAATGTCAAAGGCACTATTTGAGATCTAGAATTCTTACCTATTGATTCACAAGAAATCTATGTGATTAAAAAAGGCTATATCAAAATTCAAGATGAACTAGCCTCAGTTTCAAAATTATTGACACACACACACACACACACATATATTGAACGATTCAATATATATTTAACTAATTACTAATGTGCATGCAGTAACATTATATTATGTGCAGAAACTGCTCTATAAGGGAAACGGTTTTCTTAAAAAAATCTATCCCATTACTTCAGTGGCATCTAATACCATTCTTTGGTTTCAAAACCCCCAATCTGATTTTTAGCATACATATTCACATACATACATACATACATACATACATACAAATATGTGATTGATGGATGATTTTAAATAGCAAACATATTAACTTGGCAGTACCAGAATCAGTCATAGAAAAACAAGTCAAATCAGTAATTGGAATGGGATCAATATACTTAAAAACTTTAGAATTACTGTTAGAAGTTTATTTAAAAGCAAATTAGAAATGAATGAGGCATGATTCTTTCTAAACATCCCAATTGCTAATAAATACAGAACTGTATTTTCTTTAGTAATTCTCTTAATGGTGAGCTAGATCAGACTAGTCCCATTCCCTGCACTAAATACAGTAGCACAGAGAGTTCCACGGCCAAACCCATCCTTTTGACTAAGAAAAGAAATGAGCCTTTACCCAATATGCCAGCCATAGCTCTGTTTCTCCTCATCAGGTACATGGCCCAGGATAAGGGTGACGACATGACCATCTGCCCCTGGTTCATGGTCAGGTTCAGTGGGAGAAAAACCAAGAGAGCATCCAGGAACAGCAAACGACCAGGAAAAACTAAGTAAAAGAGCATAGGTCTCCTTCTTTTCCTCTTCACTTTCGTTCTACCCAAGAGATTCTTATTTAACGCAAGCAAATTGAAAAATGACAAGCACTCATGCTTACTGTGTTGCTTTTCATTGACCAAATTCACAAGAGACTTCACTTTTTTTTTTTTGCCTCAGGCATTTAGACTAGCAATTTTTATTTAGTTACTCAAATGATTTTTTTTTCTTACCACCCAATTAAAGTGAAAGAGTTGATGGAGAGACTGTTCACTTTAGCAGGTGGAAAAAAAGGGAAAAATACTGTGGGAGGGTTTACCTACGTTTATCTGAGAACTCTCTTTGAATAAGTAACATCTTACACCGACAGAAAGGAGGACCGTGTTTCTTTTGTTAATAGATTTGCAATTATATAAACTATATGGATTATCATGACTGAATGCACATCACAATTGTACATTTCAGTCAAACAGAAGATAATTAACAGCAAACATTTAAAACTAATATATTTTAAAATAGAAAATATTTCATAATGGCTTTGTTTTGTCTTGAAAAAACTTGTGGATTCTGATCCTTCATTAGTTCGGTGAATAAAATCTAATTGAGAACCATGTACAATACCGCATCATAAAGTGTAGCTTATACAAAGCAATTTTGAGTATTATGAAAGTTCTGGTTTTACATTCATGTACATATACATACACACATATGTATAACTTGTCCAACTATAAGTACATCTGCACTCTAATAGCATGCAGAAAATAGACCATATATATGTTTCAAGGAATATAACTGTTCAGTCATTTGAACATTAACATTAGCTGTGCCCTTTAAAAGTTATATGACCACCTATTGCAGTAATAAATGCTGTACTTTATTAACATTTCTACACTACCTTAGTTTTTTTTTCTGAAAAAATTAATAGTGGCTATGATTCAAAGGTAATAATGTACCTAAGAATATTTTATTTTGCTTTTGGGGGGGGGCAGAGCAAGGGCGATTACATTTTGCCTCAAGAAATTTTTTTTTAAAAAAACCCTATTAAATTTTATAGAAAAATGGAAACTAATGTCTGTTTATCAGTCTGTTTATCAGTCTGTTTATCTGATAAAGAAATTTATACTTAATTTATAAAGAAGTTTATAATTTATAAAGAAGTTTATATTTGCTTTTTTTTTTAAAAAAATCTCTTCCTATTATTTTAGAGTAATTGTAAAGAAATATTATTCAGTTTCCCAGAGAAGATAAAGGGGAAGAAGGTGACATGCATTGTATCACACACGTTCTTCACTATCTTGAGAAATATTGCCTAATGTTCTGTTGCAATGTTATTAACTGTAACAAAAAAGAGTTATCGAGGCTTTAGGCAAAAGCTTTTGCAACT